CCCCCATTAGCTTGCAATTGGCATTGCGGAGCTTTGCTATCAGGTCGGACCCTGTACACGGCCTATCAGAAGTGGCTCAAATAAAGCTAATCTGCCCGAAAATTCCAAGGCACATATAATTGGTAATCAGTTCTATATTTGCCAATCGCGCGACAAGATGCAGCAAAGTAGAGAGAGTTCACATGTTATACAGCTTGGCTTGATGCTGCTTTTCACCTGGGCAGGCCTTGCTTTGGGCTCTGAGCTGCCACCCCAGGGGCGTATAATCAATGGCTCCAAGGTGGACATCGCCCGTCATCCGTATTGCGTTTCCATACGTTATCGGCGCAGCAATGAATCCGCTTACTACCACGAATGTGCGGGAGCCATCTACACGGATCGAGCAATTCTGACTGCGGCTCAGTGCTTGCAAAATGTGGAGATGGGCACAAGACTGTGGGTAGTTGCTGGTGCCAATACGCGGAATGGCACCGATGGACTAGTTTATCCCGTCGCAAAATGGGTATTCCATCCAGAGTTTAGCCCAATTACAGCGGACTACGACATTGGGTTGATCCTGCTGGATACGCCTCTCGACCTGAGCAACTATCGCATTAGGAAGATTGCGCTGCGTGCCGAGCGACCAGCAGCTGGACGAACTGCCACTGTCGCTGGCTGGGGCTATCGCGAGGAATGGGGTCCTTCTAGCTATAATCTGGAGCAGGTACACGTGCCTATCGTAAGCTCTGAGCAATGCAACGATATTTATGGCAAGGGTGAGGTGACTGAGCGTATGATCTGCGCTGGCGATGTCCTTTTAGGTGGACGCGACGCTTGCCAAGGCGACACCGGAGGTCCACTTATTGTGGACGAGCAGCTAGTGGGCCTCGTATCATGGGGTCGCGGCTGTGGGCGTCCTGGCTATCCCTCAGTTTACACCTATGTCCCAAGCCTGAAGCCGTGGATCGATGAAATAATCGAGCTCGCCAGAGGGCTATAAACCGATGTACTGATATGCGCTATAAAAATGCTGATCAATACGATACTTATATGACTTTCCATTGCCAGTTAACTGCTTAGTCAATAATAAAACTATTAGTTTAGTACATAGTAAATTAATTAGCGACGTGCAGAGCACTAGATTATACCTGTTTCTATTGAAAGCTTGCTAATCTACTCGGGGCTAGCATGGATATTCGAAGACGAAGGAGAGTATTTGCTCTACGAGTTCTAGTTCACCTAAATCAGAGCTAAGAGTTCGTAAAAATTTATTCTTGGCTCACTGTATGCATCGGCTTTATCTTTAATTAAGATACTGATTAGGTACTACATGATTTAGTACACAATATAGCCTAAAGTCATTAATATCATTTTTGAAAGCAATATTTATAAATGTAAATATTTATGAGACCTACGGCTAAATAAATATAAACAAATCTTGGTTGACTTGGTTAAAATTAGGCAGTAGCCATAGAATATATATGTATATGCAATATACCATTTTCAGCTCTATCTCTGTATCTCTCTCTTTAAATAGTAAAAAACAAACTAGAAAATCTGTTTTCTTACGGTACATTGAAATTTAAATTTGTCGATCCAGCTAACTATTTCTTTCCTTATGAAAATATGACAAAATTATTAAGTTTTTTTCCATGGCTCTACAAAACTAAAACAATTGGCTGGTTTTGCTTGTGCAAAATCGACTTACATCATTTTAAAGGCTATTATCAATTAAATAATAATTTGTAAGTTACTTGATTAGAATACCTAACAATACTTAGTTCACATACTTTCCTACTCTAAAAAGCTAACTGCAATAAAATGCTGACTAATCGAGAAAATGGTTATTTGCAGACAGTCGATAGTTCAAACGGTTTTTTTTAAAATTCGATAGCATACTTTACTTGTTCTTTTTTATTTCTTGATTAACGTTATTCGCTTACTTATACGAACACAATAATAGATTAAGCTGGTTTATTGTGTTTATTATCTTTCAGATTATGGAAGATTTGACAACTCATAGAAATTCAATGCGGCCCACGTTAGCCTTGGACGCACGAGTATCGATTATCCATTGGCGCAAATCGGGTACGGCCGCATAAACTCCTGGGTATTTTTCGCGTGCGCAACCCGTGCCCCACGAGACAATGCCCAACAGCTCATTATTGTAGATCAGCGGACCGCCAGAGTCGCCTTGGCAGGCATCTTTGCCGCCACCGTCGACGGCGGCGCAGAGCATGCGACTGGTCAGAGCGATGAAATAGGCGCTCTTACACTTGGCATTCTCCACCACATTCACTTCCACTTGTTGGAGCACGTTGGAGAGGGCGCCTCCTTCGGTAGTTGTGCCCCAGCCAGTTACGATGACAGGTGTTCCGTGCTCCGGACGCTCACTGGCCAATTCGATTGGCTGCACCGCTTTATTGTACTCGAACTCTCCATCCAGAACCAGAATAGCCGCATCGTAGTCCTGGTATAAGGACTTGTACTTCTCGTGAATGATGATCTCCCTCACCGGCAACTCCTGACCAGTTGGAAAGAAGGTTTCTGTGGTGCCAGCGATAATAGTCAAATTAGCTACACCCGACAACGTGTTCACACAGTGAGCGGCCGAGAGAATCATATTAGGGGCAATAATGGAGCCGCCGCATCGATGGTTTCCGTTGTAGCGCATGGAGATCTGATGTGGATAGCTTGTTATGTCCGCATCGTGACCGCCAACAATACGCCCATCGGGCATGGGCACACCGCTCTGGAACACGGTCCCCGCTACCGATAATCCCACAATGCAGAACCCGATCAAGATGCGATACATCTTTTCAATAAACTAAGGTGACATTTCTTGAGTTATGTACTTTTATAAGACACTTATCTTTGGTATAATTGCTTAATCAGCCAATTCCTAAGCTGATAATTCACAGGCGCTATAAATCTATTTTGTAAAGTTAAGGTTAGTTAGTTTGCCGCTTATCTTATCCATATTGATGGATCATGATGGTGCTACGGTCATTACTAATGCTGGCAAAGCTGATTGGTATGAACATTGACGGTCACATTTGAAACTTTAACAGTTGATATCGATAGCAAATGATCGAAATGGTATGAATAATAACTGTCAAAATTTTTGAATGAAATAAAATCACAAATAATGACTATAATAATTATGATAATAATAATAATTGTTATTATTATGAACTAACTAACCTAAACTAGATGAAGTAACACTAATAACAAAATGATAATAATAATAATCAAAAAGTATAATATTAATTAATTTATTTATTTTATATCTAAAGTGAAGATGCAAATTGAAACAATTTTTGTAAATAATAAAAGATTGAATAATTGGAAATTCAAAATAAATTTATATATTTTTCTTTTCTTTTCTCGCCATAAAGTTTGCATATTTTTGAACAGTGTTCTGAGATAATAAAGTTAATTCCGCAAAGGCTGTCAATTGTGTACTGAACGTGTACTTAGATCATCTAGGGGAAAACTGCTAACGTCTACTAATTCCAATGATTCATCAATCACACTTATAAACTTAACAAGTAAGAAGACTCTAGTCGAGACTGCTCGACTAGGAGATACCCTGAACCCTCTAATCTGATATTCTAATCACTCTGCACTTCTTTTCTGCACACATACATACACACGCACGAATTAGAACGCCCTCTGCTGACTGCGCAGTAAGCAGCGACTGCGCTTAGGCTGCGCTGCAGTGTGGGCAATATTATAAGAATTTATTTGTTGAATAATTTAATTTCTAGACGTACAATCTCAATGAAACTTTCAGAGCGTAATTATATGGTAAAAATGTGTGCCCATTCTAAAGCACACGTCTCTAGTACTTAAAATACGCCTTTTACAAAGGTGAGGGTGAGGGGGTGAATATAGGGGTGGGGGGTAAAATACAACAAAAACCGGAATTATATAAAATACATATAAGTCTACATTTAAAATTTGGAAGCTTTAGCTCTGAAGGTGTAGGAGATATAATTAAATAACTAGCTTTCGATAAGGTTTTTAATCGATAATAAAATATCGGGAGTAGTTATCGATATATAAAGAAAAACTTAATATGCGCGTGATATACACGGACCTAGGAAAAAAATTTCAAGTCTCTAGCTCTTATATCTTCTGAGATCGACGCGTTCATACATACGGACGGACGGACGGACGGACAGACAGACGGACAGGGCCAAATCGACACAGCTCGTCGCCCTGATCAAGAATATATATACTTTGTGGGGTCTGCCACGCCTTCTTCTGCCTATTACATACTTTTAACAAAACCATTATACCCTGATTTCCCATTTTCAATGGGTTCAGGGTATAAAAAGGTTCGCGTTATCTTATAAACAAACCTTTTAAGAAACGACATCTGTATCGAATATCTATTAGTATAGTATACAGTATATAGGAATATATCGAAGTATGTATAGTACACAGTAGTGCAATATTTGTTTATATCTAAATATAAAAATTATATGGGAAACATAAAAATCATTCTTAATGGCTGTTATCAAGAGAATTTTTGGTGCTTGGTGCTTGTTTACTTTGGTGACTATAAATCTCAGGACTGGACATGGCGAGACGTTGATGTTAATCTATAGAGTTAAGAGTTTCGGAATAAGATTATATACTGCTGACATCTCTTTCGCTACCATATCAAAGTTCAAAAAGTACAAATGACTCAACATATATCTTTGACCATCATTGAGGCCTATGTGAAATAGACTAAGTTAGTGAACTTTTAGTGTAAAATGTTTTTTTTTTGCCATATCGTAAAAGACTTATCGAATAGCTTATGGGGTATATTGCTTAATTATGGTTTGGCATTTCGCTTTAAAAAACCGCCTTTTTTATAATGGATATAAAACAGTTGGTTAACTTTAGCTTTATGATATTATTGAATACGTTTATTGAAATCCGTGGCGTTTCGTGGATTTTGAGCGATTTCGGTTAAGACAGCGATAAGCAGACGTTGTTCGTATATAAGAGCCAAGTGCGATACTTTAAATAATATTAGAATTTTGGATTTTCCGTAATGTCGTGGTCGTCGTCGTCGTGTTTCGGATTACTTGCTGCTACTTTCTTGGGGCTGCTTTCGCTGGCAGCATTGACCCAATGCGCCTCCATTAGCACCCACATTGTGGGTGGCACTGAAGCGGATATTGTCAATTATCCGTACCAGGTATCGGTCCGATTGGAGTCATACATGTTGCTGCACATTTGTGGTGGCAGCATCTATGCACCTCGTGTGGTGTTGACTGCTGCCCACTGCATTAAAGGACGCTTCGCCTCCTACATACGTATTGTGGCGGGGCAGAATTCGATAGCCGATCTGGATGAGCAGGGAGTTAAGGTCAGCAAGCTGATTTATCACAGTGGCTATAATAAGAAGACGCATGTGAATGATGTGGGTATGATCATAACCACTGTACCATTGGCTTACTCCAATCTGGTCCAGCCTATTCCTTTGGCTGTGGACTCACCCAGCCCGGGCACTCATGCCATAGTCAGCGGCTGGGGCAAGCGCACCGAGGCGGATGAAGCACTACCAGCCATGCTGCGTGCGGTGGAGGTCGAGATTATGGACAGAAACACCTGTGGCTCTCAGTATTCGACCAAGGATTACAAAATAACGGATGAAATGTTGTGCGCAGGTGTTGAGCAGGGAGGCAAAGATGCCTGCAGTGGTGATTCTGGAGGGCCATTGACTGTCGATGGAGTCTTGGTGGGCATTGTGTCCTGGGGAGTGGGTTGTGCTCGCGAAGGCTTCCCTGGAGTTTACACTAGCGTGAAACACCACACAGCTTGGATTGAGGAACATGCTGCTCCATACTTGTAAACTGCGAATTGTTTTCGTAATAACACAACTATAAAGTGAAAAAATTAAGCGAACAAATTAACATTGTATATCTACCTTTAGTGGTTTTTATATTTAAAGAAACTGAACATTAAAAATGTATTTTAAATCTTACGAAATAGATTCAAATATGCCCAGCACTGAAAAATTGAATTAGGTTGGCAGCCTCTGTATTTTGTTGAGTATTTCCGCTGCTGGAGTATGTGGTCACACAGTTTTGATATTCCACGACTACTGCCACGCGGTCACATTGTATTCGAGAAAACTCGTGAAGTTATAACAAGTTTGAAAAGGTGACAAAATTTGTGATTTAATTAGTGTTGGACTGTAAACAAGAATTAAAACATAAAATATGTCGCTATTTAGTGCATTAATGGGTGATTTCGATGATGATCTCGGATTCATGAAGTAAGTTTCCCAATAACATAATTTACTGCTGATGCTCAGCTGTGTAGTTGTCGATATTGGGGCGTGGAAAATTCGCATGAAAATCGTGCGAAAAATCAGTGCCTGAATGTGAAAAGCTAGTTAAATAATGCCGTAGAAATTATTAGCTTATGTGCTTTTTAATTGAAAGAGATTCGCTGATTAGGTGCTCCGCTGGACGACAAACATATGTGTTTCTGTGCGTCAATTTCACACAATACACACAGCGCAGTTTTTCGTATGCTGTTGTGTATGTGTGGACGACTGCGAGTGTGTGTGAGTGCGCAGCATGCCACCGTAAAAGCAGTCGCAGCAGCAGGAGGAAGAACGAAGACAAGACGGAAGGTCCGCAATTAATCGATAATTCCGATTGCACGTTGACCGCTGTCAATATAAATAAGATTAGTTTAGTCTGACTGCAACAACAAAAACTAAGCTTTGTATGCCATTGTATCAAGTTCTGGGATAAGGCATAACGTCATTTTCTTTTATTTTCTGATTGTTGTGTCATTGGGTGAGCATTTGATTTTTTATGAATTATGAAAATAAATGAAGATCAACGGTATGTATTTGTTTTTAATATATATAATTAAGTGGAACTTGGTGCTTGTTAAAGGCACATTCACTTCAGGTATAATACCTTTACCTATCTATGCATTATATATTTTTTTACGAATATCTGCAGGATATCGGTTGAGCACGACATAAATTTTTGAAATTCTGTTTGTTTTATAAATTGTTTTAAAAGTATAATCCATAAAAACAAATGCAATACAGGCAGTCTACGTATTTACAAGAAATTAACCATTTCTAAGCAAGAGCAAAAATTAAACTAATGATATTATGCCTAGGTATTAATATATGGTTCTGTAATTAACCTATACACTTGTTTTATATTATTTTAATTTGCTATTCCTATTACATTGCAATATTGTGAGGAGTAAAATATAGACATTATAATTGTAATTAAGGTATTAGTGAGGAAATTGTATACATTGACAGCTGATACAAACGCCATAAACGTCATAAACGCCATAAACGTCATAAACGTCATAAACGTCATAAACGTCATAGACATCATAGACGTCAAATGATGAAAAGTCAGCAGATGAAGTGTACGCGATTTTCTGTAAACTGAAAATTTTCTAAGCAGGCGTTCGCTTCTTTTCTTTTTGTGCGATATCGAGACACTTTGTTCAATTCGTTTGCCTGAAGTTGTGTTTTCATTTCCTTAGCCTTCAGTTCTAAAATTATTAAAACATCGAAATCGATATAGTTGTTCATATTTTCGGAAAACTTTATTGGAGTTATGAAACGCAAACGAAATTCAAGCCGTAAAAAAAAAACTGAGACTTCCGAAATGGACACAAAGTTTGTGATTTTCTTTTTCTTCATTTAGCTTTTAAAATTTTTAGGTAAACAGAATTAAAAAAATGTTTTGTTTGCAGCAATCACATGAACCACCACATGAACGCTATGAACATGCAGATGCGCTCGATGAATCGTTTGATGAACTCCTTTATGCCGGATCCTTTCAATATGCTGGGTCCCTCACCATTCGATGCGGGATTCCAACAGGGCTCCCTGATGGAGCGCAATCAAAATGCAATGGCGCCAATGGGCGGCGGTTTATTTGGCTTCCCAGCCATGCCCAATTTCAACCGTTTGCTAAATGCCGGTGCGTATTAATGAATAACTGCTATGAGATATATTTTCTAACTCGTTTTCCTTTCGTTACCCTAGACATTGGCGGCAATAGCGGCTCTTCGTTTTGCCAAAGCACAGTGATGACCATGTCCTCGGGTCCAGATGGACGTCCACAGATCTATCAGGCTAGCACCAGCACCAAAACTGGACCTGGTGGCGTGCGCGAAACACGCAAGACCGTTCAAGACTCACGTTCTGGCTTGAAAAAGATGGCCATTGGTCATCACATTGGCGATCGCGCTCACATCATCGAAAAGGAGCAGGATCTGCGCTCTGGCCAGCTAGAAGAGCGCCAGGAGTTCATCAATTTGGACGAAGAGGAGGCCGAACAGTTCGACCGCGAGTTCACACAACGCGCAACACGCGGCATTTTGCCTCATGGAAGTGATCACAGCGGCCTGCACGCCATACGCGGCGCTCGCCCAGCTGCTGGAGGCTCAACAGTTACCATTGAGCCGCTGGACGACGACGATGATGATGATTGTGTGATCCAGGAGCCGACACGCACCGGCCGTCAATTGCCAGCTCTGCCCGCACCCCCAACGGCCCCGCACAGCAGGTGAGTCCAGGGCAACTAGTCTAAGCGTCTCCTGCCAGTAGTTGGCAGGTAAACGTGCGCATTTAGTGATTTGCATAAGATTCGAATTCTCAAAACTTTCGTTCTACTTGATACACTCGAGCTTTGGCCTTTAACACGCAATAATTACCACTGGATATATCGTGTGTGGATGGATATCTATGGGTTTGAGCTGGTTTTTATAGCACACAGCTGTTAGTAACATCAGTGGTTAATTTTTATATAATCAAAATATATGAGTAATATAATTAATATAATTATTTAGTACATATTTTTATTTGTTAGTATCTGTTTTAATAGAATTTTATTAACAGCTGCGTAACATAGCAACCAGTTTCTTATTTTATTTGAGACTAGCTACACATGATATATCCAAGACACACAGATCGTAACACAATTCCGATTGTAGCCTTTCTTCTTCACAATGCCCGCTAAACTAAAACGTTTGTATTTACTTGCAGATATAATAATTACTAATTCAAGCAAAGTACATACAGTATATTTTAATAATTATAAATATATATATACATATATATTACTTCAATATATATGTATACATGTATATCAGAGTCAGAGAAACCCAAAGCAATTGTTTATAATGCAAAAAAAAAAAAAAAAAAAAATTCTGCTTTTACATTCCTACTACGTTCGAATACTAAAACGATAAAATGAGAGTAATTTGAGGTAGGCGGCAAAGCAATTTGTAATTTGTAATATATTAATTTACATGATTTTCCGAAAATGCGAAAAATTACTTTTTACGTATTTTTGATTTACCTATTTTTTGTTTGAATTCAAATCATAAGCCATATTCTTTCCATATTTACTTGCATTCACGTTACTTAAAGTACCCACAACGCGTTACGTAATGGATTGCTACGTTATAAACTACTACTACTACAAATACCCCGTAACACAGTTTTAGTGCCCGAACGACATACGCCAAAATGTGTTTTGTTGTAATCTCTTTTAAATTTTCTTCGAATTGATTCCATACTACGATGATAACAACGACGACCAACAGCGCCGAAACAGCAGCAACAACTTCGCCACGTCGCGACGCTCCATCAGCAACAACCACAGCAGCAGCTGCAGCAACAACAACTTCAGCTTCTTTGCCCCAAACTTATGATGCAACTAACAACAATTATTTGGGCGTCGGAAATACGTCAGCATCTCGTCGCGCCTATATGCGCAACGGTCAGCACTTGGCCACGCCCCGTCGACCTCTACGTACGCCTTCGTCGTCGCCGCTGGCCACCGTATCGAGCGCTAGTCACAGCATTGCCGGCACGCCAAGGTTTGTTCGCATAAGCAAAACAAAACTACAACAACAGCAGACCAAATCAACCAAATGAGAATATACGTAATGCCCAGTTCCCCTTTAAACCAAAAACAAAAATAATTATTAAAATCAGATCATTATTTTTATTATAAAGCCGAGATTCGCTATTATATTATAAGTGACAGAAATACGTAACGTTACGATTTGGCTTTATGCCTGATTTGGTTTTATGAATACGCTAAATTTGTTTTAATTTCCGCTAAAAGTTCGTTTACAATAAGCTAAGATCATCATTGGCTGTTCTTTGAGTTTTGTAATTTTCAAATATGATATATGTATTTGCTAAAATATTTTATTTCTGAGGGTATTTAACCTTACGTAACGTTGCGTTCTGCGCTTTATCCGCCCCATCTGAACGATATATACAATGGAATAGTTTTAAAATGCAATATAATTTTTATATTGTTCTTACCCTATCCTTCTATCCTTACCTTTTGTAATGTATCCATTACGTTACGGTAATTTTACGTTACGCTTTTTGGCTGTTCAGCTTATTTTCCTCCCACGAAAAGATTTAACCCAATTGTATAATCGATTTTAATCGCTCTATTTCTCTCTCTTCTCTACCAATATATGTATATATATTTACATATATGTATATACATAAATAAATAAATATTTTCCGATTTGATGCAGAGATTGGCGTTTATATAATTCACGTTTCTATCGCAAATAGAAATATCTATACGCATAATTATGATCCATAAACTATAATCAACTTATACACATATAAATATTTAACATATACACCACAACGTAATTGAATGAGACGCGTTACGTGCAACGTTGCGACGTAATCACAACCACCTACTAACCAGTTACGGCGTTTGGCGACGGCGCTCCAACTCGCTATTTGCTCCGTCATGAAATATCATCGCTGCGACGCTACGCATCATCTACGTTACGCATCTCTGCAACTTCACACCCACGTCGTTACGTGCCACCTGTTACGTGTAAGGCCGCCCAAAACAAATGAAAACAGCAATTTTTTTTACAGCTATGTCCATTAAATTCTACTACTACTACACACATCTATACAGTTAATTTAAGACAAATAAGGCGACGTACACGTAATCGCAGCATGTTGTGTCACAATTGTCTTATTTGCGTATTACGTAAGCCCAACCACATAAAAAATGAAAAACCCAGACGCATACATATATTCCCAGTTGAAGAGACGCGTGTTGGCCACATTATTGTTTCGTTGCCTGTTGACAAATTCCATTACGTTTTTCGTTTACCTCTTACGCATAAAAACTCATCGTTACGTTACGCCACGCTACACGACGCTTAATTGGTCTTCGTTTATACATAATATATTCTCTACGTACTACGTGACACAACTGCGGCGCTTATCTAAATTCTAACGCTGTTGCTGTTGTTGCTGCGCTGCTGCTGCTGTTGCTACGTTCTGTTGTCTTACGTGGGAGAGACTGCAACAACACACAAACACATCAACTGCGTATCTCTCCTCACATTACGTAACGGTGCGACTAATATTGCCCGCCCTCATCCAGCTTAAGCTCTGTCTCTCTCTCCCTTTATCTTTCTCCATTTATCATACGAATAACGCACTCATGCCTCGCCTCGCTCTCACCATTTTAAGATTTACGTTAGAATTGGTCTTTGTACGGAATGATTATCTATATAAAACTTTTACGTTATCATAAATTTGTTTTACGTATTTGCGTCGTTCTTCTCTTCTTCCTCGTTTGATGCAGTTATTAATGGTCTCTTTCTCTCTGTACAGCATACATCCACATCCCTATGCTGCGAATCCGGCAGCCGCCCGTCGCCAGCAGCGTCTGAAGCATCATCAACAGTCAAGCGCCTCGCGTGGATTGGAGGATAAAGCCGAGCCGCGCGTCAAATCGGCAAAGCGGAACAAACCTCAATAATAGAATTAGGGGCAAAACCATTTACACACACACACACACACACAAACACAAACACATTTACCTACACAGTTATAGCACACATACACATAAAAACATTATTACAAAACCAAATTTAAACTCCAATTGCAAAGCGCCAACCCATAGTACATGTTATCGATCAACAATAATCTAGGCACACGAACACATACGCCTTCCCCCTCACACATACAACTTTAATATATATATATATAATATTTAAATGTATATCCATACATAAAATATATATATATATATATATATATATATATATATATATATGTAACAGCAGATTCGCGTCTCTTTCGGACGCTATTTTTATTTTTGTAGACAGGATTCTTGGCTTGGTCGGCCCTACATATATCCAATAACACTTTTCGAAAGCTTTGTAGCGACAGAGAAGCTGCGCGAATCTGCGATAACTATTTGATATCGATAGCGAGCTCGTGCATACCGCAGGGCAACTGTTCACACCCCCACACTTACAAACATACACACAGATACACATGCACACGTATCCACCAATGCACACTTATAATGTTAATAAAATTTTTAGTTTAAATGGTAAAGAAGCGTTAAAAGCTAAAACGTTTTTGAATATTCTCAAGATTTTAGTTTTTCTTAATAGCGTGTAAGATCAACAATTTTGCAGCGAAGAAGAAGCAGCCTCCTAACTATATAAAAAGAAAAACCCATATTATTAAGACATAAATAAATGTTTGTGAATTTAATTAAACGAAAATACATACATAGTAAATTTAAAGCTTAAAGAACATATTTACAAATTTTAAATCAGAACGTTTCTAGCCTAGTTTAGTCGATCATCTCCATCTGCGTTTCCTCCGATTCTCGCCAATTGCGCTGAACCATTTCCACGAGCTGCTTCCAAAAGGGCGTGCGTCGCACATAGTTTCCCAAACAGAGCAGTATGAAAGCCCAAGCCAGAATTAGGTAGAAATCTGTTTTCTTTGTCGGCACCGATGACAGTGGTCCCCACTGAATCATCGTGTGGATAAAGGGATGCAAGCTCTTTGGGTCCACGGTCCTTATGTTTGTGTGCCGCTTTATAAAGCCGCGGACGCTCACTTTGTCGTGGCTGGGCGGATCGTACTTGATGAGGGGTCTTCCCTGATGGAATATCATCAGCGTTGGCAGTGCGACGATGCCGAACTCTGCATTGAAGCGCGTAAACTCATACGCGTCGATATAGGCCACTGGCAGTGTGGGTAACAGATGTGGCAGCAGATTAACTAGAGTCGCCACGCGAGCGCACTCGAGGCTAGTATTTGTGCAGAAGTGCACTAGGACGCAGCTGCCCGGCTCGTGACGCTTGGTTGCATTGCCAATTGGCTTCAGTAGATTGACAATTTCTTTGGCACTCTGCATGATTAGCAGCTTAGGCATAGGTGCGCTCAAATTGCCCGTTTCCGGCAATGGATCTGGTTGCAGGCATTTTATCAAAATTGGAGGTTTTCGTGGTTGCGGCTGTTCTGCCAGATGTAGTATATACTCATCGTCCGGTACGCAGATGTGGCGCTCCTGCATTAAGGCGTACGACTGAAAGCTGTAATGGCACTGCCCAATGGAGACATTCCCTACGGGCACGGATCCTGATCCATTCGAATGGATGAGACCCAGATATTTCAGGGCGCCCAACAAACCGGACAGCTCTCCTTGAGCTTGTGCTGCATACAGCCCTATTAAAACAGTAGCAATAGTTATTGTCAATAGCAATTAATTTGTTTGTGAAATCCTTACCCAAAAGGAATAATATTGACAAGGTTACATTTGTATGCATTTTTGTCTTTATTTTGTCACAGTGTGGCTGCACTACTGTAGAATTAAATGGCCAAAACGTAAAAATTAGTAAACGGCAAAGACCTACTTAGTTGTTTCGTCGAGAAATATACTGAAAATTCTCCGTTTTTATTATCATCATATGAAAGTTCATTGCTATGTCACGAAAAGTATACTGCAGTATGTGAGCAGAAACGATGGTTGAAAAATACCGTTAATTTGGTATTTTATACAAGCGAATACCAAAGCTGAGCAATATGAAACTCGCGCGCTTTAATTTAAACATTGGTTATTTGAAAGCTTTCTGAATCATGCTCAAAAATTATGTGACCACAATTTGACGCTCTGTTATTTCTTTTCCCTTAAGTCTATGTATGTCAATTATGCATGGCCATAAACACGCACAAACAACCCGTGTCTACCACGTCCACACAGCAGACAAACATTTTTCCTACTCAGCAGTTTTTGTGAGCTTTGCATACCCTAAACAGTTATTGTGTGGGGTTTTCGTAGGAGCACTACAGTCACGTGACTTGTTTTATTGCTTGATGGAATATAGATTTAAAGAGGATATTAGAGTCTCAAAACATTTAAAGTAAATAATTTTAAATTTCATATGCAGATTACAAGTTCTATAGAATATTCTTGATATGAAATATAGTATAGAATAGCCAAGCGCTGCTATTAAAGAGCCTTTCCTTGTCTTTGTTTTCTTTTGCCTTTTTAAAAACCGGCAACATCAATTTATCATGCTAAAGTGGTGTCCATATAAGCGGAAGTTGCTGTACAAGCTGCCTGCTCAGGCTCAGGCCATGCCAGGCGTGTGCACAACGACAACACCAACAACAGCAACAGCAAGACCAAAAGCAACAACAACAGAGATGAGCAACCCTTTGTGGTCCTTTTTTCTGAGGGGCGTCAAGTCTGAGGGGTGTCATAACTATTTTCAACATTGTGCACACATTTCATTCATTGAGTGCATGTTGAGCATATTTACAACTAGTTACAGAGCAATGATGATGCCGCCGACAAGCCAACTGTGCTGTTAAAAGGCACTTTATGCGCATTTATGAGGCCCATCTTAAAATGTCAGTGCCTTGTGCCAAGTTACGAGTAAGCAAGGGTTGCAAGTGGTTTAATGAGTGGATTTCAATTTAGGTGTAGTTTTATTTGTGGTTGTTGATAATTATCTTTTATATATATTATAGTTATATCAATTTGCATACATTTATATAAACATTTTACAGACATTTAAGTTGTATTGGGAATAATTCTAGAGTGTCATAGCAATTAGTTTCTGTCTGCAGAGCATCGATCAGTCGTTGCTGCTGCCCTTGGGCTTCATTGCATGCGCTAGCGTTGATAATTATCTTATCAGAGCAGCCATGGCAATGGCATTTGCAATCAAATGAATTCAATTGAAAATATTTCGATTCACTCCACTGCCTAGTTATTTACAAGTTTGCATCGAACAGTGTCTGTAGGCGGTCTGCTGGTGCGGTCGGAAGTATTCGTGGTGGTTGCCCGGAGCGAGTCGCCAAGTCGTCGAACTTTCTGCCCAGCTCCGGCACTCGATATGTGACGACAACGGCTACAGCGACAGCAACAGCAACAGCAACAACAACGACAAAGAGAACGAGAATGAACAGAAATGGCTGCTGCGCTTTTCTTCAACTGATAAAGATAAGGCCAAGGAGTTGAGTAAGAGTGCTCGCTGTAAGACTCTTGAAGCAAACTTTTGCCAGCCTTTGCGGTTGCCGCCGCTCAAGTTGGCCAGCATTTTGTGACAATTTATTTTCTATGCTTTGGCGTTTGCTTTCAACAAATCGAAAAACTATTAAATTGGGCTCTGAGCCAAAACGACAACAGAACTAAAAAGAATCCAGCGTGAAAAGTCAAACCTTACATACTCTAACGATTTGAGGAAGTTTGCTTACAGCGATGAGTCTTTGCTTCATTACTGATATATGTACATATGTAAGTATTTCTGCAAGTTCGATATATGTCTGAATAATTGATTGTTTAGGAGTTGAGTATGACATATGTATTATATCAATTAAAATAAATAATTAAATTAAAAAAAAATCAATAAATTCAGGCCTATATTTATATTTATATATTTATATATCGAGCATAAATTTCACATTTAAAAAATAAATAATTGGAATTCTTTTAGAGCTTTTTCTTACAGCCTACGTGTTCGGCTACAATTTTTTCCACTTCCTAGTGTATTTAGACAAAAGTTTTGCACGCCTCTCACAGCTTGAAAATTTCACTGTTTGACAGTCACGCGATTTCACCATGGTTTGGCACATTTGATATCAAATGCAACTTTTCACCTTTGCACGCCGTTGACAGGCTTCGACGACATCTGCTTAATTGGATAGGAAATGGCGAGAGCTTGCCCAAGCCACTGGCACGGTCAGCGATAAGATCTCCAAGCGAGACAACCGGATACGTTAAAAGTGCAATTAAACAAATATAATATACATATATATATATATATATATATATATTTATCGATTTCAAGCTACTACTTTTAGCTGTAGGAAGTATTTATTGAGTTACTTTCAGCGATCTACAAATTTATATCTACAAATTTATAAATAATAGTAATAATAAAAGAACAAAGTCCTTTAAATACTATATATATATATATTTATGTGTATGTGTATAAGATATGTTTCAATGTTATGTCACTCAATAACCTATCAATCAATTCTGACTAAGTACAGGGTATTTTCAAATCATTTATTGGCACCATAACCTCACTTTCTGGCCATTACCTCAATTGCCTGAGCTTGCCAGCTTAAAACAGATTATCGCTGTTTGTATACTATGCGTGTCTCTATAAATATGAGCATGATTAAAATAGACTTGATAAAAGATAAACTACAGTTGATATTCCATGGAGTTTGGTTGTCAACGGCAACGCCTACAGAAGTCGCAGCACTAAACTAATTAAAACTTTTTGGGTTTTTTCTGCTTGCTGTTGGGTTCGTCGGGCTCGGCCATATGGCATTGGACGGGAGAGTGCTGTACCCGGAAACCTGGCATAAATTACGAATTGAAATCACGTAAATGCTGGCAAATTTAATCAGCCTAGCATCAGAGTGCGTCTGCGGCTGGTTGCTAAGCAAAAATTAAATTTAACAACATAACCAAATAAGGACACACAAAAACGAACAAAAATCCGAAATGCAAAAAAAAAAAAAAAAAAAAAAAAATACAAATCCAATAAAGAAAAAAATCGTTAGTGTCAAACGTACAAAAAATTTGCACACAGCTACGTGACTTCAATTTCTCACTTAGCCACAGCCTCTGACGGTCCTTGACTGCCCACAGCTCTGTGTCTGCGTCTATCTGTGTGTATGTGTGTGTGACAAGGTGTATTAGTGTGTTGTGTTTTCTTTTTTTCTTTTTTTTTTTTTTGGCTGTGTCGTTGCAGAACTTTTAATCCTTTGCACTTTTGTCAATGTCAAGCCGGGCTGGCCAATGACAAACACAAAAAACAAGCTGATAGAGCCCCAAAGCAACACGAAGGATGCCATTGAATGGAAGTCAATGTTTATATGCCCTTACCGACCGGAAGTTGTTAATTGTTTAGCTGGAGAGCCACTAGGCTATGGGCAGATGATTATCCCAAATGTCCTTGATAACAAATCTAAAAAATATTTCGCGTAGAATTTTGAGTAGGTAAAAAAATATAAATTTATCTATTCAAAAAATGAAATACATAGATTCGAAAATATGCGATAATAACATAACATTA